TAAATTTATTCACGGGCAGCATTTTTGCGATAATTTTATTTTGCACGGTGATGTTATTCGGTTCACAGGCATGGTCATCATTGTCGTTCGTCCCCCTGGGTGAGGTTCGAATTCCTCGCAGAACTGCCGCTCGTGCTCATTTTGTAGTCATAAACAAAGGTGCTGGAGAGATCTATCTGAGCTCTGATACGAGGTAGCGTCCAATCTCAATACTTTTTTCCTGAGTTGGAAGCAACGAACAGCAGTAAAAGTCGTTGAAATTGCATTGCAATACATCAAAATGTATGCAGCAGGAGTTTGAGCCAAAACTGCCAGGGGATATTTTAAAACTGTCGAAGAACAAGTCATTCTACTTCAGAGCAAGGTTTAGAGCAATTTATAGTGCTTCTAAAACTAAAAAGTACCTTTTAAAGAATAGCACGATAGGCAATCGGCTTTTGTTTTAAGAATTAGTAAACGTTGAATTTACTTGTCCCGAAAATTGAAACTGGTGGCTCCTTCTCCCTGATAGTAATTTATTTTTGAAATTCTAAAACAATTTCACAGCTGAATTTTGAGCCACTTTTAGTTACGGACTTCTGCTCCAACGATTTTTCTGAAATTCCTCTGGCATATTTATTATATCAATGAAAGCCGATACGAGAAATTTCAGTAAAAAATATCAGCAAAATTTTTTACTAGAGGCGATTTTCTTTGAACAGTAGGGTCCTTTTAAGCGCTAATTTCTCAAGAAATATTTACCATCAATGAAATCGGAATATTTCGTATTATTGCCGAATGATATCTGTTTCTGTTTGCAAAGTTTCGCAGCCATCGCGTTAAAAACCAAAAAGTTATGACGGAAAATTTGTCACAGCAAAATGCTCTAGTATTAATTACGAGCCACCTTAAAGGTACCAAAAATACAGGTTTCATAATATTTAACTTTTTGAAAGAAAAGAAATTCATTTTTAACTTTTTTGTTAACCGTAACTGAAAAAAATCAACCGATGGCCGTAAAAAAGCAAAAAGTTTAGTCGATAAGCGTAAAAGCCACCACCCCATTGAGACCCTCATGAAATCAACCCGACTTCCAAGTTTCCAAAGAGACCATGGGAAGAGAGTACGGTTCACTAGCGAAGCAAGTATTTGGAAGTGTTTTGTTTGACTGAGACAGGAAAGGAGCAATATCTACGGCGAGAACTACCAACTTAATATTTTGAATGCAATTGGAAAAAAACCCTCTTTGCCAAACGTATGAGGACAAACATTGGCAGACCTGCTAAGACGTACATCATGTGCGATGACGATCATCATCATAATGTGCAATATCGACAAGTGATTTTAGATGTTTTAAATTAATTACTTAAATATACCTGGATTTTTGAAAACCGGGTTAGCAAAAATATCAACTCATTCTACTGCTTGGCAATTTAAAACAACAAAACTCATTCAAAGGCCGATTAAAAGCCTTTATATGACGCCGGGCAGTACGTTAATGGTCCCTAGAAGCATTCCAACGAGTCCAAATTTAAAATGACGCAAGTTTTAGAACATTTATTCAGTAAACTGACTTCGCGAAGTTTCAAACTGATGTCATTTCAGTCGAGAAATTTTTAAGTTGAGTGAGCTGCAGCGAACGAGTGCCTGGTTAAGGCTTACATAACGACTTAAATAGTTAGCAAAACACTACTTTTTCAGGGCCGTAGCCAGGAAGAAACTACAACCGAGGCGAACACACGGTCCGTTGTACGAAATCAACCGTATGAAATCTTCTAATATTATCAGTCTGATAAAAAAAATAAAAATCGACAGTATTTGGTAAAATTTTACCGAGGCGAGTGCCTCGGTTCGCCTCATACTGGCTACGGCCCTGTTTTTTCGCGGTCCGATAAACAACAGGATTCCGCATGGAATAGACAACAGACTGAATGAAACATAGTGCACAAATTATCACCTTCTTATCTGCAAAAACGGCCTATGGTGCAATGCCATTAGAGCCCGCTGAAACTAGACCTAGATCCAATTTTCCTGAGTCGAGAGTTGCTTTTCCAAGGTACAATCAGCTAAGCTAAACACCAACGAAACAATATTAATGGCTGGCAGAGAATATTTTGGCGAAACCGCAGTTCAACCACGCGTCACATACCTGTCAACACCATGCGGAAATCACACTATCACACACTTTCGCGGCACATGATAAGACTATCCACAACCACGCATAATAAATCGTCTCATGTTTAACATAAGCAAAATATCATCGAATAACTCGAAAAAAATTCAGCCTATTGCCAGATAAACACCTCTGGACTCGTCTTATTCAAGTTCCGGATGTAGAGTCACACGGTCGGCAGATCTCCTTAGCCTTGCTTTCACACCAGAAAAGTCTTGGCCCGGGTCAAAGTTCACCTGCATTTTTGCTCTCACCTAATTCATTTGACTCCTAAGAGCCTGTTCCCGAGGCCAAAGACTTAGTGGTCACCTTAGAAAAGCGAACAATATCGTACCCTTCTGTCTCAGCCCGGATCAGGGTGATTGATCAGTTTAGCCAAATGAAACGAGAATATAATACGATATTGGACGATGCAGACTCTGCGAATCGTAATAACTTTGTCCCATCTCGGAGCCTTACTAGCCTGCGAAAACATCCGTTTCTCCTCGCTCTTCGTCGATGGGGACGTTTCGCGCGGAGGAACGTCGTTCCTCCTGGCGAAACGTCCCCGGCGGCGAAGAGCGAGGAGAAACGGACGTTTTCGCAGGCTAGAGCTTTACATGATGCTCTCCGGGAAACTTTTCTCAACGTGACCAATCTATAAATCTAAACTGCTAAACGGCACCGAAACCAGCTTTAGGCGCCCGCTGATTTCAAACTGATAACTGTCACTTGTGTTAAAAAAAGAATTGTGGGTAGGGAAAAAAGTAGGGAGGGGGGGGGGGAAGTTAGTAATTCTGTCTACGTCCCCTTCTACACAAATCCCTAACCACAAGACAAGCCAAAAAAAATACGACGTAAGCAAACAACACAGTAAACAAGCTATTAGACAGGGGAAGTTGAGAAAAATTACAAAATGTTTGCTAACCCGGTTTTCATAACTCCAGGTGTCAAATTATGAAAAAAGACACTTCAATATAAAGTTTTTGCCACAAACCAGCGCAGGGGGGGGGTACTCCTGGGACCTCTTGGTGGGGGTGTGCCGCCCGGTTCTTTAAATCCTGACCCGATTTCAGACCATAAAAATGTAATTTTCCACACCCGTTTTCAGACCTGGCCTTTAGGCAGAAATTATTTTATCAGCAATTAGATTAGAGCGCAAACAAAAAACTTATTCAAATCCATTTCGAATTCGCACATTTCTCTTTCTTTCTTACTCATTTGGAATTGAAACGATAAAGACGTTCATACACTCCCGTAATTCCCTCAAAAACCATACCCGATTCCAGACCAAAATTGGCAAAGGTTATACCCGTTTTCAGACCATAACGGCTCAAAAACCTTACCCGATGGGGCGGAACACACCTATATGGCTTATATAAGGGAGAACCCCCCCCCCCCCGGGCAAACCAGCTTACAGTATTTTACAGAGATGTATTGAAATACTGTACTTTAAGGGTTTTATTTTTCGGAAAACGAAATGCAGGAACCATTGACATTTTGTCCATTATATTGTAAAATAATACATTTAAAGGCTAAGAGAAAATTTACCGTTTTTGGTTGCTTCTAACTCAGATTTTGTCTCTGCTAATGTAATACTAAACCAACACCCTTGATATTAGCCTGTGCCACAGATGGAACTAAACTCTGGGTTAAGTCCGTCTGCAAAGCAGCGGCAAAATCCTAGTTCTGGGCCTCCTTAGCCTCCCACGCAGACGTCCTTCGGGGTTCGTCACGCGTTCGTGGGGCAGGAACCAATGACGAACCCCTAAGAACGTCTGCGTGGGAGGCTAGGGCCCCCCATGTGTGTATCAGGATTTGAGTACCTGCAAGGACTGGACTGTTATAAATGCCATTGTCCATTTGCCAATCTTGTTGAAAGGAAACGCAAAATGCCGGTAATTCGTTAAGTACATTGCAATTGGGGCCCAGAACTCCTACAAGGATGTTAGTGCCTCTTCGCAAATGTTACTAACCAGGGTTAGAATACGTCTGCAACACAAGCAACCTTGATATTTAATGTTCAAAATATTAGGTACCTGAGATTGCTGAAAATTTGGAAGACTAATTTAGATGTCTTCTAGACTGAATTAACTTATGCGATGACATTGTGTCCCTAGAGAGGTAGTGTTATCAGTAGATTTCAATTTTGTGTATGTTGTAGTTAATTAATTTTTTATTTTTCCATCGTTTCTGGAGGGTGTGAATGGGGTTAACGGACTAGCGACAAAGGGCGAAAAATATTACTGACTAAATTCATTCATGAAATTCATTTGTACAAGTTTTACTCTTTCCTTAGGGATCAAAGTCTTGAAACTGGGTGAAATACATAAACATAATACTAATTAACAAGCGTTTTTACTTATTAAGTGCGATTTTCCGACAACCGACAAAAATCAAAAAGTTTAACCGACTACCGACAAAGATCGAAAATTTTTAACCGACTACCGACAAAGTAACTGAATTTTAACCGACAAACGACAAGTCGACCCCCCCATTCAGACCCTCTTTCTGGGTATGGTTATATATGCTAATGAATCTAAAACAAAGGAAAACCAAAAATTTACTGAAATAAAAAAAAGAACTACAACATATTCACTAACATGTAATTCACCTAAATGTCACCTTTTTCTCCTGAAGTCGCCTTAAACCGCCTTAAGTCGCCTAAAATTACCGCGACTTAAGGTCCCAGAGTAAGCCTCTTCACCGTGTTGAGTATCACCACATGCCCACCGAATTTTACCGTACCCTACCTTGTGCATCCCTTTATTTTGGCGAACCAGTCCAGTTTAAAATTGTCAATTAAACTTATTTTCTTGTTTCTTGCGTTTGATTTAGTTCGTCATCTTACTGAAAATACTGAACAGAGATGGCATTGCAGCCGTTTAGAGACGAGCAATTAAATTTCTTCAAGTTCTCGTCGTTAGTGTTAAATGAATTTCCAAAAGCTTTACGGCAGACCTTTAAGACCATGTGGGACAACACCTATGGAGGTCGCCCTGGTTTCCAGCTCTGGGATGATTCAACTGCTGTAAGAAATTTGTTTGCCACTACAGAGGGGGGCAGGACTAAAGTTGCTATTCACCAGTCTTACAAAGACTGGGATTGTACCAACCTGTTCCAGGCTACAATATTTGCGAGGTCTTTTGCATTACCAGCCAGTACAGGATCCTCCACGCTTAGTGATTTGTACTTGAAACCCCGTGCCTTACCTCATGGTAGTTTCCACGCATGTGTGCTCAGCCCGGGTGGAAACAATGCGGAGACCTTTACACTTGCTATAGATCAGCTTCGTCGTCTTAGAAATTCACTTTGTCACTCAACAAGTTCTGAGATGGACAAACTCACCTTTGACCAGCGCGTTAATTTCGCCAGAGATGCGTTTCAAGCTCTTGGTGTCTCGACAGCCCCAATTGACGCCGTTGGTAGTTTGACGGAGTCGGACTTTCCTACAAATGAAGTTCGTGCATTGGAAATGCGACAACGAGACGAGACTCGAGCGTACATCAATTTTTTCGAGGAAGCCTTATTACAAGCATTAAACACAGGACATGAAAAGCAGTACATGTATATTGCGAACAAAGAAGACATAACTAGGTTGGAGAAGAAGTTCGATGAGTTGAAAGAAGGACTAGAACGTGATGCTGAAAGTAAAAATTCAGGTATCATTAAAAAGACATAGAAAACCTAACCGAGACTCATGTAGATTGTACTGAGGTGGTCCTTTGAAGTCATTCAAAGCATCGAGTTAGTTACAGCGACACTGTATTAAATAATTATTGAGGGGCTCTAGAATTTTATCAGAAACAAGGAAAACCTGCCAAGCAAAACGCTTTGAGTATTATCATAAACGCTTTAGTTTCTAGTAAGCTATTTTATTGCTCCTCTGTTTGGAGCAACACCACCCAATCTAATCTGGACAAACTCTAAGCTGTACAGAATTTCGCCTTAAGAATTGTGAGCGGGGCTGGAAATTTGATCAGGTCACTGCCTTGTTAAAGGACTTGCACTGGCTCCCAGTCAAGCACCAGCTATACTTTCGACTTGCTGTTTTAGTATTTAAGTACATGACTGGCGGTGCCTCAGCGTACTTAACATCAAAGTTAATAAAAAGAGCGGCCATTTCGACAAGGACAACCAGGAACTCGGATGATGTTGATAACACCACTCTTCCGCACTGCTAGTGGCCAAAGGTCGTTCGAATATAGAGCGACGTCTCTTTGGAATAAGTTGGAACCAGAGCTCAAGCGAAGCAAATCCGTTAAAAGTTTTAAGCGTCAACTTAGAAGACTTCTTCTGGACGCCTCCTTTAGTTAGTTAATTATTTTTTTGTGTTTTTAGCTTTCTGTGTTTAATATTATTACTGTGACATTGACTCTGAAAAGCCCTGTGGGGACGAGCCAATAAACAATATATATATTTATATGTATGTGTTTCCAAGCGAGTTTGTTCGCTCTCGTTCCAAAACGTTCGCCACGAACTCGCTTGAAAAGGGCTGCTACGCAGGCTATTTCCTGTGGATTTTTCATGAGATGGAACAGCCAGTGTGGCAGGCTCGAGCCCCTGAGTTTCTCCTTTCACTATTTTAAAAATTTTTAAGATTTAAAAAATGTTCAAAAAAACTCGACGTCTTGTCCTGAATTGACAACGAAAGAAAGGACTTTATTTAAGATAATTCCTGGTTTTGCACTGTAAATCGCGTGGTGCGCATAACACTGCGACTTCAAAAGTAGCGTTGATTTTCACCTGTCGCCTAAAAAGAGGTAACAAAGGCCACTTTTGCAGTGCAAATGCTGTTAATAGCAATTTTAATAACTCTACCATTCTCAAAGGTGTTTGTCTTGAAACTCGCCCCAGTCTCCTTCCGCAAAATGATTATTTGAGGCCGAAATTGTCTCTTTATTTTCGGTTGGCGATGAAACGAAAACGGTGACCCACCTTTTTTATTTGTGTTTTTTACTCGTTGTGGCTCCAAAAATATATACTTTAAGGAGAAAAAATCTGGATAGTAGAAGTTGTATTTTTTTAGATATGAATGACGCGAATTTAAAGCAACAGAACTAAAGTACGAGATAATGTTAAAACTGTCTATTTCTCTACCTTTTATCAAGATCGGGTAATTTTAGGACACTTAACTGGAAAAATATAGCCCAGAAAGACAAACGGGCGTAAGGTTTTAGTAAGGTTCATAGTTTTTGCGATAAAATAAGAATTTTTGATGGTTATTAAAGTTTCGAACATTTCGAGAGCTAGTAGGGAAAAAACACCCAGAATTACAGGTTCACAGGGCGAAAACAAGCACCGTGACCAAATCTTTTTATTACAGTTTTTCAATGTCCCATACATCACTAACATTTGTGCCAAGTTTGAAAAAAGAAAGACCCTTATTTCTGACTTCTACAGCAGATAAAGCCACTTATTTATTTACGTGAGCATGTGTTTCCCGCTTACTTTTTATTTGTTTTTTTTTGTTTTGTTTTTTTTGTCTTAAAGGAACGAAGCCATTTTTCTCAAATGCCGCTTTACCTTCCGTGGTTCCAAATTTTACAGGTCGTCAGAGCGAGTGCGAGGATATCATCAGGCACGTGACATCGGAATCCACCCGACTGGTGTCGATCTGCGGTTCACCAGGATTCGGAAAAACTTCTGTCGCGATTGCAGTGGGACACGCTGTTCAGTCTCGAGGAATTCCTGTTTATTGGATGTCATTAAGAGGACTCCATTCCAAAGCAGATCTGACTTCAAAGTTTCTTAGTTTTCTGAGGCAACCCAACACACATACCAAACTGCCCGATCATCTTTTATCCATTGATGATGAGATTTGCCTACTATTCAGCGAAATTTCAAAACCATCTGTAGTTATTCTTGACAATGCAGATGATTTGCTAGAAACTGGTTGCCCGAAAATGAAGGAAGAGGTCACACAACTTTTGGGGGAAATTCTTAGGCGAAATCAAAAGGTTACATTTGTTGTAACCGCAAGAGAGTCTCTTGACTACATAGACCTTAATTTTCAAGGCCATTGGGAGATAAGAATAAACCCACTGGATGACGACTCTGCTCAAACTCTGGTTTCTGAGTTACTTCCAAATGCAGGCGTTGCAGACTCCACTAAAATCGCGCACATCTGTGGACAAGTCCCTTTAGCCATGAGATTACTGTGTTCTTTAGTATCTGAAGAAGATAGTGCTCAACCGCGCCATTTTCTAGATAATTTCATGACATCGTCGACAGGAAGTCTCGTTGAAATGTTGGACCATCCAGATTATCCAGCTAGGCACCGATTACAGTTGTTGTTTGACTCTTCTTTCCAGAGACTAACTGCGCATGAACAAGAAGTACTTGTCTCTTTGAGCATTCTTCCCGACAATTTTAGTACAGAGGTGGCTGCGGCTGTTTTAGGTAAGACAGGGACTATCGAAACAACGAAGATATTAGGAAACCTTCGGAGGAAGTCGTTCATCGATTCAAGCTCTAAACCGGGCATATTTACAATGCCAAGCTTTTGCAATCGTTTGTCGTGGATAAGGGAGAACAAGAGGTGACAGAGACGATTGTAGCTTCACAGGGTCGTTTGAAAGCGTTCTACATTTCACGTTTTGAGAAGCTAAATGAACAATTTCTTTCCGGCCATTCAATGGCAGCATATATTGGATTCTATGAAGATAAGGAGAAGATTATTGAAAGTCTTATAGACAGCTGTTCAGATTCCAAAACAGCTGACCGTGTTTTCGACATTTTGGTAAAAGGGGAGTGGTTTCTTCACTCTCTTTTTTGGATTCCGAGTGAAGTAAAAAACTTTGAACACATTTACGATGCAGCCATAAAAGCAGCCAATAAACATAGCAAGGAAAAATATCTCAGTCAGCTTCTTTCCTCCAGAGCTTTCAAAGATCTAGCGAACGGAACAGGAGGAAAGGCAAAAAATTTTCTTTCTAAAGTGAATAAAATTCAAGCCACGTCCCCAATTGTTCCTCACCACGAAAAAGGAAAATATTTGTGCTATTTGGGGATTCATAACCTTATTGCAAGGGAACTAAAGATCGGAGTCCAGTGCTTAAGGAAGGCTCTGTCATCACTTGACAATTGCAGCAACCCGGAGCAAAAAATTCTTAAGCTAGTAACTTTTCAGATACTTGCCGTTTATTATCGGTCCATAAATGACCTCTCCAGTGCAAGTACATTTTATGACAAGGCACTAAACGAATGCAGTGGAGTTGAGGACCGGGATCTACTTCTTATCACATCGATGACAAGGGAAACCAAGGAAACTACCAATGAAATACATCTTCAAAGCGACTCGGAAGTTTTTCTAAATCAGCCGCTTAAATGCGAAATTGCCTTTCTATTAAACCAGGCAACGATGTCCTTCTCTGATTTTAACACCATGCAATATACAAGCAGCTTGGTTCTCCAGGTACTGGAGAGTGTGGAAACAGAAGTTAAAATTTCAGTTGGATTGCTCTGTTTCGAAAGAGTTGTAACACACGTTCTGTGGCTATTAAGTTGTGAAGATCCCGTAAAACTGTATACGTCAAGAATCAATTACCACCAAACAGTACTGGAAAAATGCAAAAACAGTCCCTGTGAGAAAGAGGACTTACGACGCTACACCAATATACAAAATAAAGCACTTGCCAAGTACTACTTAGACCTGGCTAAAGTTCATTTACAAACAATAAACTATCCACATGCGCTCCAAGCAACCGAACAAGCACTTTTAGTGACGAAAATGCTTTTTGGAGAAGAACATGAAAGCACTGCTGACAGCTACAGGGAACTCGGTGTAACACAACACGCAATGCATGACTACAAAGCAGCTCTTCAGTCTCACCAGCAGGCATTAGCTATACGCATTAAACGGTTTGGAGAAGAACATGAAAGCACTGCTGACAGCTACTTCAACCTCGGAGTAACACAGCAGAAGATACGTGACTACAAAAGAGCTCTTCATTCTCACCAGTGTGCATTAGCTATACGCATTAAACTGTTTGGAAAGGAACATGAAAGCACTGCTGACAGCAACAAAACACTCGGTGTAACACAACACCAAATGCATGACTACAACGCAGCTCTTCACTCTAAACAGAGTGCATTAGCTATACGCATTAAACTGTTTGGAGAAGAACATAAAAGCACTGCTGACACCTATGGATCACTTGGTATAACACAACGCGAAATGCATGAATACGAAGCAGCTCTTCAGTCTCACCAGCGTGCATTAGCTATACGCATTAAACTGTTTCCAGAAGAACATAAAAGCACTGCTGACGGCTACAAAACACTAGGTGTGACACAACACCAAATGCAAGACTACAAAGCAGCTCTTCATTCTCACCAGCGCGCAGTAGATATATGCATTAAACTGTTTGGAGAAGAACATAAAAGCACTTCTGACAGCTACAGGGAACTCGGTGTAACACAACACCAAATGCATGACTACGAAGCAGCTCTTCAGTCTAAACAGCGCGCATTAGCTATACGCATTCAACTGTTTGGAAAAGAACATGAAAGCACTGCTGACAGCTACAGGGAACTCGGAGTGACGCAGCACGCAATGCATGACTACAAAGCAGCTCTTCAATCTCACAAGCGTGCCTTAGCTATACGCATTAAACTGTTTGGAAAAGAACATGAAAGCACTGCTGACAGCCACAGGGAACTCGGAGTGACACAGCAGGCAATGTATGACTTCAAAGCAGCTCTTCAATCTCACCAGCGTGCATTAGCTATACGCATTAAACTGTTTGGAAAAGAACATGAAAGCACCGCTGACAGCTACAGGGAACTCGGTGTAACGCAGCACCAAATGCGTGCGTACAAAACAGCTCTTCATTCCCACCAGCGTGCATTAGCTATACGCATTAAACTGTTTGGAAAAGAACATCAAAGCACTGCTGACAGCTACAGGGAACTCGGAGTGACACAACACGCAATGCATGACTACAGAGCAGCTCTTCAGTCTAAGCAGCGTGCATTAGATATACGCATTCAACTGTTTGGAAAAAAACATGAAAGCACCGCTGACAGCTACAGGGAACTCGGTGTAACGCAGCACCAAATGCGTGCGTACAAAACAGCTCTTCATTCCCACCAGCGTGCATTAGATATACGCATTAAACTGTTTGGAAAAGAACATCAAAGCACAGCTGACAGCTACTTCACCCTTGGAGTGACACAACACTCGATGCATGACTACAGAGCAGCTCTTCAGTCTAAGCAGCGTGCATTAGCTATACGCATTAAACTGTTTAGAGAAGAAAATGAAAGCATTGCTGACAGCTATGGATCACTTGGTGTAACACAACACCAAATGCATGACTACAAAGCAGCCCTTCATTCTCACCAGCGTGCATTAGCTATACGCATTAAACTGTTTGGAGAAGAACATGAAAGCACTGCTGACAGCTACTTTAGCCTTGGAGTAACACAGCACAAAATGCATTACGACAAAGCAGCTCGTCATTCTCACCAGCGTGCATTAGCCATATGCATTAAACTGATTGGACAAGAACATGAAAGCACTGCTGACAGCTACGGGGAACTCGGAGTAACACAACACCAAATGCATGACTACAAAGTAGCTCTTCAGTCTAAATAGCGTGCATTAGCTATACGTATTAAACTGTTTGGAGAAGAACATGAAAGCACTGCTGACAGCTACAAAACACTTGATGTAACACAACACAAAATGCATGACTACAAAGTAGCCCTCCAGTCGGACCAGTGTGCATTAGCTATACGCATTAAACTCTTTGGAGAAGAACATGAAAGCACTACTGACAGCTACTTCAGCCTTGGAGTGACACAACACCCAATACATGACTACAAAGTAGCTCCTCAGTCTAAACAGCGCGAATTAGCTATACGCATTCAACTGTTTAGAGAAGAAAACAAAGCACTGCTGACAGCTAGTTCACCTTCGGAGTGAGACAAATGCATGACTACAAAGTAGCTCTTCATTCTCACCAGCGTGCGTTAGTGTTAGAGAGTGGTATTGCTGTGGTATCTTGACATGTGGTATCTTGTGCATGATGGGAAAGGGAGAGGGAAGACATGTTGTTCGGAATTGAATCTCTGCTGCGTAGTCTGTGATCCGACATCTTATATCATGGTACCAGGAGAGTAAAGAGCCACGATAAAGAGCCACGAAAATGCTGTTTGAAGTCCCTAGGAATGCTGTGGGGCGTGTTTGGAGTCTTTAAAGTGGAGAAATTGAGGAAATCTGATCCGAAAATACTGATCGGACATCTTCGCGCCAAAACTACATGGGACTGGATCGTGGTAAAATCTGTTTAATTCTCTGGATTTTCCTTGTGTTTTCGGGACTCTCTAGACGAGAAAATCTGATAATTTCTATCTGCTTTTGTGGTCAAACATGTCGGAAGACGGTGCCGAAGTTGCCGCAGCTGTCCCAGCTCGAAACGCAGGCGTTTTTACTGGAAACATAATGAACTTTGAAAGACCGAAGTTCAACCCTCGCCTAGAAAATCGCCTGGAGGCAATAAGAGCCTTTAAGAAAAAGTGTGATAACATCTTCAAAGGAAGCCTTCTTAACAACTTAAACGAAAGAAAATGCATACTGGTACAAGACTGGCTAGAACCTGTAGGCCAAAGGATTTACGATAGTTTAGATTGGTTCGAAGGTGAGGTTATAAACGACTATGATCTGATGCGGACTAAGTTGGAGAGAGCGGTAAGTCCGGAATGTAACGAGATAGTTGCCTCTAAGAAATTTAAGGAACGAGTGCAAAAAGCTGGAGAGACAATCACTGTTTTTATCACTGATTTTGATGCTGTTAGTGAAAGAGTATAATTATGTCGACGAAGATAGACAAGTGAGAGATCAATTTGTTTATGGACTATCTGGTGAAGAATTAAAGAAAAGATCACTACAAAGAGGAAATAGCCTCACACGAGTTGAAACTACTACGATTGGCAAAGCCTATGAAAGCACTCAACTTGAGGTTCAGGAATGAAGTGCAAAACAACCTGCAAAGGAGAGTGTAAACGCCCTGTCTTAAGATAAACAAAGGAAATTTTTCATGTGTAATTACTGGGGCAACAAGAAAGGAGCTCATAGCTTCTCAGTCAAAAAATTCTGACCTGCCTGGGGAGCAGTATGCAGAAAATGGCAGATCAAAAATCAATACCAAGATTCAAAGGAGTGTAAACGGTTAGAGAGAGAGAGACAGGGAAAACAGTTAGATTCAAAACATTCGAAGTCGTCGAAAAAACCGTTTGTCCTGAAAGGAGAAGAAGACGATGGCGAACTTTACTATGAAGTTCTGGACAAAATATGTGCACTCAATCAGAAGGGTGACCAGAAGAAAGCCTTTGCAAACCTGTTGCTATCAAAGAAACGAATTGCTTTGAAGTTTTAGATAGACTCTGGCTCTACATGTAGTATTCTCCCCGTGAATGTAGACAAGGATATAAGTGGAGATAATGATTTAAAGGATCTCAACGCTGTCTTTGTATGATGAAGAAACAAGAATACAGACACTGGGAACCAGAAAAGTCTTTGTATTTAATCCTTCGAAAGAGGAAGAAGTGATTATTCAGTTTAGAATTGTTGAAAGAGCCCTGACACCCCTCATTGGTCTTAATAATTCAGAAATTTTAAAACTCATTGAACTTTTACGAGAACATTACCGTTGTAGGACCAGCTAAGCAAAGGGTCCCTCCAACAGCCACTGAGGTGTCAACACCACTATCGATGGAAACCATTCTGACTAACTACCCTAAGATATTTGATGACAGTGTGGGGAAGTTTGAGAGCACATTGCATCTTTACACGAGGGATTATGTTACTCCACACAAAACAGCTCCAAGAGAAATTCCTCGGTTTGTTAAGAACAATCTCATCGCTGAAGTGCAAGACCTCCAACAACAAGTTATTCTGGAGGAAATGACTGAGCCCACTGAATAGGTGAGTTATCTGCTAAGAATGGAATAAGGCTATACATAGATATCAGACCACTGGACACAGCACTCAAGCTCTCTGAGTACCCAATTTCAACTGTTGATCATCTGCTCACAGAAATTAGCAACGCTAAAGTACTTTCCTTAGCTGGTATCAAGTCTGCCTTTTGGCACATCACATTAGATAAAGAAAGGTCTCTGTTGACGACGTTTAATATGTCTCTTAGAAGGATGAGATGGAACAGAATGCCTTTCGGCATTAGTGTAATTCCTGAAAAATTTCAAAGAAGAATCGACGAAAACTTAAAAGGATTAGAAGGTGTTAAAGCAATCGCTGATGACATCCTGATCTGGGGTGATGATGACACCATTGAATTAAGTGGCGACAGCCAGTCATGACAAACGCCTGTTAACCTTGTAAGAACGATGCAAACAGAAGAATATTAAACTTAACAAAGAGAAGTTACAACTGAGGAAGACTGAATTGTCCTACATGGGTGTGGTTCTGACAGACAAAGGTGTTAAACCAGACCCCAAGAAACAAGATTGTATTCAATCAATGCCTGCTTCAACAAAAGCAAACAAAAAGATGAAGTCAGACTATTACTTTGTGTAGTAACTTACCTCTCACGATTTTCTGAGGACTTGTCAGCCAAGTCAGAACCGCTGCGAACATTGCTTAAAAAAACAGCGTTCATCTGGGAAACAAATGAACAGAAAGCTTTTGAAGAAAATAAGACCCTCATCTCAAACGCACCATTATTGAACTACTTCAACCCTGTCGAGACAGTAGAAATACAACTTGACGCATCATCAAGTGGATTGGGAGCATGGCTCATGCAAGGTAATCAGGCTATACAGTATGCTTCGAGAACATTAATTAACTGAAACTGAAAACGCTATAGTCCAATTGAGAAAGAGATGCTTAGTATTGTCTATGGCCTCACTAGATTTCACACCTACACTTATGGTCGATAGGTGACAATTTACATTGACCACAAACCACTGGCTGCTGTATTGAAGAAACCTATTGCAGTCCCCTGAGACTTCAGCAAATACTCTGCAGAATCATTGGATATGACTTCGAATTCAAGTATGTGAAAGGCAAAGATCTTCTCATTGCTGACGCCCTTAGCAGATCCCAAACAAAAAGACAGAACCGAAGCAAGTTTGAACATGAGATTGAAACAACTCGAGTGGTTCATGAAGATCAAAGTGTAACAAGTAGTTTAGCTGAAATTGCAGAAGAAACAGTTCATAACACCGAATTACAGTCAGTAGTTCACCACATATCTAAAGGCTGGACAAACAACAAAAGAAACGTCCCTTTTGAAATTCTACCCTTCTGGAGCATCAAGGACAAACTGTCGGTCAGTGGTGGAATTGTTTACAAGAACGATCGCATCGTAGTTTCGGTGGCCCTGCGGAAGACACTCATTGTAAAACTACATCAAGCTCATATGGGTACCGAATCAACCCTTAGACGCGCCAGAACATTCTTATGGTGGCCAAGCATGAACAACCAACTAAAGCAGTTTATTGCCAAATGTGAAGTCTGCAACGCTTTCCAGACCAAGAAGCATAAAGAAACTCTGATGAGTCAAGAAATTCCTAACAGACAGTGATCGAAAGTTGGTTCTGATATTTTCTCTGGTATTGGTTGACTACCACAGTGACTGGATTGAATTTGACCTGATGAGAAACCAAAGTGCTGCTGAGATCATCAATTTGATGCAAAACAGTTTGCGAGATGGGGAATTCCAGAGGAGATCGTCACAGACAGTGGAACGAATTACGACTCCGTTGAATTCTCGCAGTTCTGTAATCATAAGAACATCAAACACACCAAATCTCCACCTCATCATCACCAGAGCAATGGAAAATCTGAATCTGCTGTGAAGATTGTAAAGACATTGTTGAGGGAGACAGCGAAAACTACATTAAATCCGTATGAAGCGTTGCTTGACCGGCATAACACACCCACCATTGGAATGACAACATCTCCGGAACAAAGATTCCTAAACCGTCGAACAAGAACAGAAATACCCATCAAAGGAACTTTACTTACACCGGAAATTGTAGAGAGAGTGTTAGAAGAGAAAACCTGGAAAACCAAGAAATCTCAAGTTTATTATAACAAATCTGCCAGAGATCTGAATGAGCTAAAGCCTGGTGACACTGTTCGAGTAAAGCCAGAAACATTAGCCAAAGGACAAGAGTGGAAGAAAGGGACTGTAACACAGTCATGGATACAGATCATACGACGTAAACGTAGAAGGAAAAGTACTTAGCAGAAAACTTGTACACCTAAAGCCAGACAAGCAAGTCAAAATAACGGAACCATCCCTGAAGTCTGAAGAACGAAAGCCCAAAGCCCAACCAGCATCTCCTACCCACAAGAGCATGCACGTAAAGCCCACAAAACAGACCGCAAAGACTTCGGAAGCTAAATGCACCAATATGGAACTGATTACTGTAAAGCGAACACGTTTAGGACGCCTAGTTAAAACACCGTACAGATATAGTTCTAAATGAACGTAAAATTGACGTTTTACTGGAGAAGGTGTCAGAGGGTGGTATCGCTGTGGTATCTCGACATAGCGCATGATGGGAAAGGAAAAGGGAAGACATGTTGTTCGGAATAAAGTTGTGTTGGTGAACCTCTGCTGCGTTGTCTCTGATCCTACATCTTATAACTATTAGCTACAATGTATAGGCATTAAACTGTTTGGAGAAGAACATGAAGGCACTGCTGACAGCTATGGATCACTTGGTGTAACACAACACGAAATACATGATTACAAGCAGCTCGTCATTCTCACCAGCGTGCATTTTCTTTAGGCATTAAACTGTTTGGAACATGAGGTGTCAGCGGTCAGACATGGAGGTCCGACACGTTTCTTTCGCTCCGATGTATTTCCGACAAACGTTTTAAGTTTTCTTACTTTGTCCTCTCAGCGACCTCCTTCTTAAATTTTGTCTCTTATAATCAAGATTGTCTACGTTATTCATTTGCTGTGGCTAAGGAAATTATTTGTCGTTCTTTACTGGGTGCCGTGTCGCGATGGCGGCTTCCAAGGTGAAGACTCGTTCCAGCAATTTGGCGGAAGATTTAGCCCTCTCTTTTACTAAACAAATGGAGGATTACATTAAAAATTCTGCAGTGTTAAAAGAAGCCATTCTGAAAGCATTTAGTGCTGCAGTTGAAGAAATAATTAAGCCTCTCAACGAGGAGATTGCGTCACTACAATGCGAAGTAAACTAAAAGATGTTGAAGTCTAAACTCACGGAAGATGGTGCTAAAGCCGATGACAAAGAACAGTATTCCAGAAGAAACAATATTCGTATCTTGGGCTTGCTAAAACCGAAGGAGAGGATTGTTACGATGTAGTGTTGAAATTATGCCAGAATGACTTGGAAATAAATGTCACAAGAGACGAGCTGGACCGCGCACACCTCGAAGGTAAACCAAAAGAACCCCTCGATGGCCAAATCTTACCACCGCCCCACGCGATGATTATCAAACTCACTGGATACAGCCCCAAGATGAAATTTTTCAGGGCAAGGAGAAAGTTTGGCCCCAAAAAGATACTCATTAACGAAGATTTAACGAAAGAAAACCACGGATTGTTGCTTCATGTGAAAAGGCGATGCACTGAACTAGTATCCATTTATTCAGTAGAGATGGAACAATTATGGCTCGAACTTCGGACAGGGTTTACCGCATCAAAAGAAAGGAAGACCCGGAAAAGCATGGATTGACCACCTCTGTAGATACCGGTGATGTCCATGATGCTGAGGTTGCCGAGGACGAAGAAATTGTTGAGCAGGACAGTTGAAGACTTTGTACTCTTTTGAACATTTTTCTTCTTGTTTGTTTCTTTATAATGCTAGTTTTCCTATGCAGCAGCAGGTGAGCAGCCTTTTCTCTTACTTATTTTTTCCTATAGATTTAAGCATTGAAATATATCGGGCAGAAATTGGACATTTTGAGACTGAAGATCTGTAAAAATCAAACAAAATCGAAAAAATCGCGGCCACGGTCAAAAATCCATTTCGCTCCCTTTTTGAGTGCAGTAAGCCTAAGGTGTGCAATGAAATGAAATGAGGTTCGTTTTTGAAAATATTCTTTTCAACGGCCACAAACAATAAAATTAAAAACCGTCTCGACCCAAAATATCAAAATTTCACTGGTTTTAAACGTGAAATTACGCGGTTTTCAGGAAGTCTTTATTCGGACACAAAAACTTAATTCAGACCTTTTCAGCTATAGTTGTATATATAGACCTAGTTATACACTAGGTCTTCCTCTTTTTAATAAGAAAATTAACATCGGATTTGTAAACAGCATTTTCGGACGTATGAACAACACGCGAAACATGGTTCCCAACAACTCAACAAACATACATGTGGTAGTGTCTCAAAATTAACTAAACTTCATTTACGTATCCTGGACGGATGGTTTTTTGTACACATTGTTATATTTCTCTGGGATCTTCACTCTTCTCAGTTTAAACCAGCAGTTGAGTTGCAGCAAATTACAAATGGCGCCTTGTTGTAAAAAGCAATAACTTGTGCGTGAGCGCGCAGTTAAATCAAATTAAACAAATATTAGTCCGCATCTATGAAGACAGAAAGTGACAGAAAATGCTGAAATTCAGTTTCAATGCACGTTACAAACAAAAGCGCTAGAAAGCTCCGAAACTGAACACAAACCCAGGAGCCCAAATCCACCTGAAGTTATCTAAAGTGCACTGTTACCACTATCATGTAGACGTACCGCATTTTCCTCACTTGCTTGAGATTCTGCCAGACGTTTCACATCGCTTCTTACCATTTTAAAGTGAAAACTGCTCTAATTATCTGCAGGCATTTCCCAAAATGATTTAGATTTAGTCTTCGTTTTCCCTAACCGAAAGATAAAGATCGACTCAAAATAACTCTGACCTGGGGTTCACCTGATCGTATCAAATTTCCATAACCGTCACGGAAAACTTTTTGAAGCACAAATTTTTTTAAGAAAACTCTTACGTCAATTGAAACATGAACTAAGAAGTTGTTTGAAAATTCTGCTTTTCAAGAAAAAAAGAAGATTACTTGCAGGTACATCGACTATATTGAATACATTAGTGAAACATTTATTTCAAGATTCGAGAGGTAAAGTAGCTCACTTACCGGAGATAATTTGCCTGCAATATTTATCACAACGCTAAGAGAACTGATTTTTATAGACAGATGGAGTCATTCTTAATGCCGGACAGGAGTTGTTCTTGACCAGTTTGTACATTCAGTTGTTTTATAATAATTATTTGCGTGGCAGAATTGGATCAATGTTGAAGAGGTCCACGCGAGGGAAGGGCAGGGTAACTCCGCGTTTGCCTTATTATCCCTAGATGCACACACATACGTGCCCTTACCCAAAACGCATGTATATAGGGTGAACAACAAGACATTTTTTTATTATGTTTTGCCTAAGACACGTACTTTTTCTGTCTGTTTTTTTTTTTATCAATGACGCTAACTGATGACCATGGGACTCATAGATTCTATGATGTCTCGAGATACTCTCAACCTCGTCCCCACTACGCTTTTCCCTGGCTTTTGGATAAACTGAGATGGACACAAGCGATAGTCACTGCTGTCTCACATTTTTTGGTCAAAAAAAGGGTCAGGATTTTGACAATCGGACCCCCGGGAGACTTGAAGCCAGGACCTGTCAGCATCCGCTTGCTAATTATCAGATGCTTTAACGATCTATGATCATTTCAACACCATTATTTTGGATTAAGAAATCGACGCAAGTTTTATGTTTGCCTCTAATCTAAATGAAACTAAAAATGGCCGTTTTCCACTAACCCACGACTATACACGGCCGAACACAGAAAGCAACGTTTTGCGGCTAGGGCGAGTACACCGTCAGCTAAGTCCACCTTAATGATAAATAGTAGTCAATCCTGCTAAGAATAGCTCATCAGGGGGAACCTTAATCTCCCATACAAACCCTTGGCGTCAAAACTGTCCCGAGCAGTTTTATCAACAGGTTGGTCCGCAGAGAAGGCTTCGCACGCCGACATTATCATCCATCACCATTATCATCATCATCCTCATCATCGTCGTCATAATCATCATCGACACGCTCATCATTATCATCATCTGATCATAATCATGAGCGGCAGCAGCAGTAGAAGCAGCATCACCATCAGTACCATCTTTATTATCATCACATCAACATCTTCACTATTATCACTATCATCATCATCATCATCATCACAATCATTACAAAACCATTTTCATCATCATCATCGTCGCCGTCGTCGTCGTCGTCGCCATCGTTATTACAACTGTTTGGAACAAAAACATGTTGAAAAAGAGGTGGAGTGTTTGCTCGGATTCGGTGGGACACCATTGTCATTTTATTTCACAATCTCCAAAACGCTCCAGCTTAAAAAAAGGGCTAAATTTTAATATTAATAATTAAAAATTAATTCATAGTCGAAACTATAAATTGATTGCAATGATTGCGGCACAGTATATGTATTTTGATTACTAAATTACATTTTCAAGTTATTGAACTTTCTAATAACGCGAATATTAATTCCCAGTAAGCACTGTACCGTCTCATACGCGAATAGCAAAAATAATTATTCCCGCAAAATACTATAGCTATCGAAACAATCGCCCATATCCCCAAACAAAAAAAGGAAGAAGGACACCTGATCGAAGGTTACCATTCACAAGAAATGAGTGCCAGTCAGTATAGTGGAGAGGCTGGTATTCAGTGTTTGCATGAATACCCAATTTTTCACTTTTTATTTCAACTGCATGACTAAATAGCCTTCTGAACTAGGCTACACATGATACCTGTGATTTGTATAATCATACTTACCCTGAAAAGCAGTCCAGAAAAAAATCTGGACCGGAAATTTTGGAAATTAGGAAGAATTGCTTATCTGGCCATGGAAACTGACGTTGATCGAGACAATGTTCGCTGATCAACTGGAAACTTCAACAACTCACCGGGCAATTGACTTCACATGTGCCAGGGGAAGGGGGCGTAAGGGTGATACGGTTTTGCGGGAATTTTTATTTTAAGTTGCGATATTGCGGTTTTACAAAACCAAGCGGCTTGCGGTATTTAGAAATTTTCGGGTAATTTCAATGCGGTTCGCGGTTTTCGCATGTTATCATTAGGGACTTAAAGATCCAACGACGCGGACGGCAAGGAGAACGTCAAAAAAACAAGTGGTTTAATAAGCAAAACAACAATTTCGCACGTGCATCACGCTTTTTTGTACATTTCTTTCCTGTTTTTGCACGACTACGACGTGAAAATGCCTAATTTGGCGTTTTATGGAGGACGTAAACAAGCAACGACGAAATTTTATTTCTCTTTCTGAGCTTAGATATGGTCCCTTGAAATTCAGCTTCAGGAGGGTTCTCCTACATTTGACAAAGTAAAAGGGGGGGAATAATCGCTATTAAGACTGAAGCAACGCTTCAGGTGCTGTAATACCTCATGAAACTCAGAAACTCACAAGAATCGATAGTTTCTTAGTTTGAATTTTGGTGACGTCATGTGAAAACCGAGAATAATCACGAGCGAGCGTGACTCACGCAGTCGATTCCTTATTTTAAAGCCGGGTATAGTCCAGAAGGAAAGCAACGCTTTGAAAAACACACTGTTTGAGCTTACCTGTATCATTTAAGCAACACAATGACAACAAATGACTACAAATGAGCCAAAATTCTCGAATCTATCGCGTGACACCTTGTTATTTGTGACCTAACTTTTAGGTCAGAATGCGATTTTATGGAAATTCAGTCGGCGCTTGCTCGAAACCTTTACAAGATCCAAGAAAAACAAAACTGTAACTTTTAATTAACGACTGTATTTTGGGAATTTATGGCAGCAATATCAACGATTTTCAGTCACTACCACATGCCAGTTCCATCGCGATGATTTAACCCTACTTTGCATGTCCTTGAAGGGCTGTAAATGTTCCTTCAAATTTCTAGTTTATTTCTTACAGAAATAACCTGAGACGAAAACTATCCATATATTTTAATAAAACAAGGCCCCTACTGAATAATTATAGCAAAAGAAGACTGGCTGCTATGTTTAAGATCGAACACGGTTATTTTGAACATAGTGAAATTTTGAGCTGGCGCGTAGCCAAATACGGCAAAATTATTTTTAAGACTTTTAACAGTTTATTTCAAAAGAAAAGCGTATTTCAAACAACTAGTTGCATTTTACTGAAAGTAGTACATTAGCCTTTCCCTGGACAAAAATGAGCCGAATCGATTTTTTTACTGTGGCCATGAATTTTCGATTTTTGTTTGATTTTTCCTGACATTCACTCTTTTAAATTGTTACAAGCTACTGCCTCT